GCACGAGATCTGAGTCGTTGGACGGAAACAGGCTTCGGGACGAACCTCCTCTATCATCACATCCGTCTTCGTCTAGAAGCAGCTCGCCATTCTCATCCTCGAGCTCTTCTTCTGCTGCCTCATTTTTGTTCAGCGTGATGATGACCTCGGAAGGGTACACCTCAGACACATCCATGTCCTCGCCATTTTCTGATTCCGAGTCGGGAGTCGGAGTGAATTCAAACGAGGCTCCGAAAGTACCATTGGAGCCAGTAGAAGGGTTGCCTCTTATGATTACTTATGGACAAGAATCCTCCAGTAATGATGAATGGCATGTCGTTGGAGAAGCAAAGACGAGGAAAAATTCACCGTTCATCACCAAAGTATCGTCCTTGTTGTCACCAAGGCGTCTGGCTCGGCGACGTGCTGCAGCAAAAGAGGCAGCAGCATCTCTCCAATCGACTAAGCCTGATGAGGAAACGGTTGCGGTAGCGAAGGCGAAAGAGCATTCCGACGAGCTTCAGTCGAGACCTGGGCACATTGAAGGGATATTATCAGTGAAACGCACCTTCATTTGCTTCGAGGAGGAGCCCACAGATGAGTGTCTTTGTTATCATCCTGCTATGATGTCGAGAGAGGCTCCCTTCTGAGATCTGCTTGTCGGTCGTTGGTGACGATTTGTCATGCTGCTTGTATTCTATTGTTTTTCTCTCTCCTCCTACATACTGTCAGTCCTCTTGAATCCTCATGTCGATGCGTACGATGTGGCTGTCTCCCTTCCCGCCTGAGTGCGTTATTTCTGTACCCTTTCGAGTATATCAGCGTAGCTCCGCTATATACTCGCAAGTTCGAGAAGCTTTTCCTCAAGCGCTATGACGACCCTCTAGAATTTTTAACTCTGCGATATACAAAATGGCTAACATTTACGGGAATGAATAATGATTACGGTATGGTTCTGTTGTCAATGAAAGTGGTTCCATAAAGTGTGGAAGTCGAAGTAATCGAAGTAAAGTACCCTATAAAGTCGAAGTATCAACGACTGGAGTTTGACTTTTTCTGGTGTCACTAGATGCTACGCTACGATTTGTTCTTAATGCATGCGTTTGCGCTTCCCTTGATATCTGCAACTCTGCGTACGATCTCTGAACCACACCTATTTAGTGGAGCGGCTAGTGCAACATCTAAGACAGGATGCATAACACGATCCACGCTAGGGTTGGCTGCAGCTAAGTTCGTCTATCTTTCGTTAGTTCATTAAGAATATTCTTTTCAGTTGAAATTTCTCAGTCCCTCACGGTGAACATGATGCGCCTTCTTTCTTTCTTCTTCATTATTGGTTCAGTCGTAGCCGACTGGAACTACTGCCAGGATCTGTGTGAAGCGACTCCTGGTTGCAAGAACTATGGTTGGGGTTCTTACTGTAAGGGTAACGGTGTCTGTTTCGGTCTGCTCGATATGGGAGATGGTGATTATTGCTTTGAGCCCACCGATGGATACAACGGTGGCTACTGCAGCGACAAGGTTTACAGTCCCGTGTCCTGCCCAGTGGTTGATAAGACTTGTGAGGATCTTTGCGCGGAGACCCCCAAGTGCAAGAATTCTAAGTGGGGATCGTACTGCAAGAAGTATGTCGATCAGCCTGGTCCTTATGTGTGCTTCGGATTGTACCACTCCGACAAGCCGCATCTCTGCTATGAACCTTCTGAGGGTGACAAGTGTGATGAAACCTCACCCGTCTATTGCCCCTCAGAAATGGATTAGATTCGTCGTGTTTCTTATTAGTCGATGATGATATCGAATGGAGTTATCAGATGTCAGATTATCTATTGATCTCAGTAGTCTTTCACGTATGATATTGGGGTTGTGTGAATGAGAGATTAATGAAAGCTAGTTGGTGGTTGGTAATTTGTTCGCCGCGTAATTTTGTCATCAACACGATTGAAGATATGGCATATCATTTGAATATGTTCATCCGTAACGGGTACTTCCTCGTTGTTTTTGTGTGACACTGATTCCTGATGGTTGACTGCCAGTCGAATCAGGTGCGGGTTAAAGAGCGTAGTTTGACGGAAAGTTTGGAATTTAATATGTTGAGCTTGTCTGTGGATCCTAAAATGGATTGACGGATGAGAACGCAGAATTTCGGTGTCGTGCCCCGTCTTAATTCATGCAGCAGCTGCCCGTCCTCAGACGCCCACACCTTTATGACCGTACCACTCTCCCCAGCAGAGGTGATCTATCCAGAAGCATCTTCGATAGGATTGGCGAGTGGTTATGCCTCCCTCCATAGTGCCGCTGATGTTCAGTTGTAGGGCCGTGATCGCACTATTGTGAGCTCCTAGAATTGAACGGGAAGAGAGATGACTGCTCACTCCAGTAGATGTTTTCGTCGATGTATTTGGACGACTCAGGAATTGAACCTGGGCCGCGGGGTTCAGAGGGGAATAGTCGCTGTCTGACTTCCCATTACTCTAATTGCGATGCACTGTTCGTCAGGACAAGTACAGAGCCAGCACAGAGCCAAGTTAGTCTTGTTTCGTAGGTTGGGGTCAACCACCACCAGTAGGTAGCATGCCGATGACTGCTACTTCTCTCAAAATTGATGTAACAGAATCAGTTCCACGGATTGCGCCAATTCGTCCCGGTCAAATGTCCTTACGCTTCCACTACCCTTGTCTCGTCTTATTGTTTCGAATATCCTTATCATTCATTTGTTTCCGAATCATTCGTACTCATCAAGATTCGAGTTTTTTGACTGAGCTCGTTGAAGTGTGGAGTCGTTTTCATAGATGAGTTACCACGAGAGTTAACCTCTACAGCAACACAAATGGAGTCCAGACCCGCTCGAAACTGATATCATAGTGATCAAAACGACCAGAAAGGCCGAAAAATAAAACCCAGCATGTGTACATACACTTGAGATCATGAACACAGAGCGATCGTTCAAAATCTCATTCACCGGCAACAGCTCATCTCGAGGAGAGTGAGTATGAAAGAGATATTCTTAAGAGACACCACCTGCGAATGAGCTATCCAAGACCTTAAAGTCAGGAACGGGTTCACCGTCAAGCTATCAATGATAAGAATAATGAGATGACTCGGCCACAAACATTCCGGATCGAACGACAAATACACACCAGAGGAGTTTGATGCCTCAGCCCAGCATGACGATGCGAGGGAGTCTTAATAGAAGATTCGCATGCCATGTACTTCGTCGTTTAATAGCACTTATCACCCTTCTTCGTCGGATTAGGTAAGGGATCGGTCAAGCCTGTGCAAGTCAGAAGTGCAACATCGCAGTGATCCTTCACACACTTGAAGCACTTTCCACTCAGTGGGCTGAAGATGCAGGATCCAAGGCATGATTTAATAGTACACTCTCCAGCAGTAACGAAGCAACCGGAGCATTCGTGAGACAGGCCACATCCTTGCTCAAGGCAGGGGGCGATTTTTGAGGGTGTAAGCCCGGCGTCGGAACCACAGTTGAATAGATAGTTGGGAAATAAGCTGTTCGCCATCTTCGCTTTGTCCTCGTCGTTACAGGCATTGCTAGCCACAACGACAGTGATAACCAGGATGTTGACGATGCTGCGCATTCCGATGTTGAAAGGTTGCATTGATCGGGCGGCAAGACGAAGCTCGTGAACGCATACGCATTGGATGTTGGGACGCACAGTGTGCGTCGCGCACAAAGAGCGCGTGAAACGAATTGTTCATTGGAGAGGGATAAACGTCACTGAACCCACCGGGTCGGGAGAAGAATTCTCTCTGATAAAAACCCTCTATCTTTTTGGCCATCTTGTCATTCCCTGGGAATGTCAGAGCTTGCACCGGTATACAGAGTCAGTAAAACTACCCTTGGTTTCTGACTGTGGGTCCCTGCGTGGCGGGTGGGTGGCTCACGTGTAAATTCAATCGACACATCGCAACGATCGATCACATCTAGGAGAGTTGGTGGACTCTCTCGAGGATTATTGTTGGCACTCCCACCAACCCTGTCGGCCGCAGCTAAAGACTTGATAACTTTAGCACCAAGTATTATCTGATATCTGAATCTACCTTCGGGGATTCTGTTGCCAAAGTATCAATAGACGACCCGATCACGTCTTCGTGTACATCCGTGCGTGAGTCTGCGAGTGAATCTGTGCGTCACTTCCCCTTCAACTAGGGAGGGTTTGTACTCGACAGGAGAGACAATCGAAAGACTAGTGGATGGCTATAGCGTCCATTAAGCTCAATTAGGTTGCCAGAAAGTGCCACACCCCGCACGACATCCCGTCAACCTTCTGTTATTCTGTCTGAGTTTAGCACCAATACGCAGACACAACACTGCGGCATGAACCAGTATCATGGCTTCCTGCAGAACTGGCTTCGCCAATGCGTAATTTGCTGAACGCTTCAGGCTATAGGCGACAGCCTATGACAATTTGTCAACTGTCAAGCTTCGTGATAGGATTCAGAGTAACGGAGGGGGAACTCGAGTGTACTGCAGACAATATAACGAACAGAGGACTTCACTGAGAGGATATACTTCAATTTAACCCCGAGTTTTCCTTCATGACAAAGTTAAGCAAGATATCACTCCAATTGCGACCAACAGAATATTTCCTGGTATCGATTCCCTTCATTCACTGGGCAGGTATTCTATACGAACTGCCAGGATCCTTCACCAACATCTACTGGAGGAGCGGTCTTTGATGCCGTATTATCCATGTGGAAATCAGGCCTCGAAGCGATGAATTTTATAGCTTGTATCAGATGCATTGCTGTTGAGGTGGGCAATGAGAAGGAAGAAGACTGCTGCTAGCAGTTGAATAGTGAACCGGAGTGATTGACTAGACGACATCTAAATCTATCACCGCAGTACCAACAATGCTTCACATGGTGAAGTTGCATCCGCGATAGGCAGAATGCGGTGTCCCAACCATTATGAGCTCGAATGCAACGTGATATAGAGCCATAGATCACCTTCTCCAGAGCCTCCTGTCAATACTTCGACATCATCATCATCAAACTCACACTCATATCGCAAGCCGTTGTAGTGGAATACATAGGTCCTGTTGAGGTGCGTCTTAGAAAAGCACACCAACGGGTTTGGAGAGGGAAAAGTCAGAGCCCTATTTTTCCTAGGAAAAATATGGAAAAATGGAAATTTTGGAGGAAATTGGGAGAAAAGAGAGAAAATCTCAAGAAAACAGGCGAGAAATGAAGAGCGAGAGGTGATTAATCACTAATCAATGATTAGAGGCATAGAGACGTGACATAGTTCTGACAGAAATATAACTGAGACATTTGGGAGATTTAAACACTCGTAACGACGGAATCGATGGATCTCGTCGTTGGATCACAGCCTAAGATTCTTAGGCGCGCAGGAGTGTCCATCAAGAAAAATCGCAAGGTCATCCTTCGAAAGAAATATATCTCATTATGAGATCTACATCGCCCGACGAACTGAGGAACTCAACAGCGTCCTCGAGTTCGATGTGCGTTGTTAATCACAGCAATTACTTACTATCGACCAGAATTAAGCGAATTAGCGGATGAGCTACAGTCAGTAACGCGAGATTACTACTCACCAGAATTGTGCAAATTGGTGGAAATCGAGAGTCACCATTGGTGGTCCACCAATGTGAGAATACTAATCACCAGAATCGCGCAAATTAGCGGCCGAGCTAGGGTCACCAACGCGAGAATAAGTTCTCAATACAGGAATCCTAAGCTCGTCTTTCCTCAGCATACTCCGAAGTTGATAAATCGTTTAGTAGTTACTCTAAGAGTAATACTCTTAGTCTTCAGGTCATCATGTAGAATCTCGTAGGTTTTGCAGCTCTTCTTCCTCGGATAAGGTATTATCTCTCCCCCCCCCCATACCACTCACTTTCATACATATTACAGCAGGTGAAGCCATCAGGAAAGAACGCCATGCAGTTGCGCATGCATTTGCTGAGGGTCTGCGCTGCAACCCGCATTGTTCTTCGAGATCGAGGAAGATGCACCGGTCTCTGACATTTCATCAACTTCAACCACCTCCCTCACTTCAGGGGCCGGAGAAGACGAAGCACTTGAGCTGCCTGCTGGGTTGTGTGAAGACGTTGACGCGGGAATGGGTTCAGGAAAATCGAACCACTGTGCCCAGCGGAAGAAGGCCCATGCACCATCGCCTTGGTCCTAATGAAACAAACGTCCAGAAATCACTCCGTGAGAGATTCCATCCACCAGAAGGGTCGGCTCGGTGGATACGTCGGACCGTTGCGAGAGCTTCCACTTGACTATCACAGCTCCGAATGTGGCACCCTCTTCATCCCTGAGTGAGGCTCATCACTGAGTGGTTCCAGGAATTATGAGTCATAATAATAGAGCTAGCTGCCATAGCTAAGTTATCGAATGTATCATTATAATTGAATTCTGCGGTAACAGGCTATTGTCAGTAGCGCGATGCCATGCTGTGAATATCACCTCCCCGATCATCAAGGTCCCATACGATGGAATCTGCTGTCGCTGCTGCGAGATGCAGGTAGCGTCCCAAACTATCTCGTCGTTGAAATAACCCCCAGTAGCTCTCGGCCGGCAGCGTCGCCGAAATCTTGGAATGCTCGCCTGGCGAGAAGAGTAGCTGATAGCTCAATGAAGCAGATCATTCACCTTTGAAAGGTGACCTTCTCTTCTGGAGAAGTCAACCACGTGCTTGATTACGTCATCAGCGCTTATATCCAATTTCATAGTTTTTGAAGCCCAATGCCTCACGATTACTCCTTCAATGGAGATTCTTCATGTTGCGTTTCAGTGACTGCAGAGTCCAAGTGACCGCGGAGAGTGAAGGAACGCTTATAGTTCACCCCTTGAGCAGAGCTCCTCAAGACCGGCATAACTTCCGTCCAATATGCCATGCTGTACCCCCTGCGGAGTTCACCGGGAAGTGTGGAAGGCCAGTCGAACCTATTGGATCCATCCCCCTTGCTTGCGAATCGCTCCTTAGCGAAAAATTTCGTATTTTGCCTATTTTTCCTGCGGAAAAATAGGTTAACGTAGCGTATTGTACAGGAGCGTTAACGTATTATGAGAGTCCACATAAGAGGGGAGCTTCGGTGACAGTATTCATACCAGGGTTCATGGCCAAAGTCGACAAAACAGTGCCACTGGTGAGTTGGGTACCTCTAGCTAGCTGCCACTCTTCGCCTCTCCATCTCTGACTTGCTCTTATTGTGTACAGGTTAACAAAGAAGATGTTCTCCAGGCTTATCGGAGGCTCCCTACAAATGCCAAACAAGAACTACTCACTATCATCGATGCACAACTCGTCTCTCGAGTGAATGAAATACATAAGGTAACTTCGTGACAAGATCAGGCAGAGTGTATTTCGGAGCCTTCAGGAAGCGAAGAGAGATGACATTCTTTGCACGCGTCAGCAGCCTAAGTCTAAACGCCTCGTTGGCCTGTCAGCGTTCTACCTCTTCAACAGTACCAAACTGATGCAAGGGATTCTCGATCCTTCGGGAGCTCAAGGTAAGGTTCAAGGCATGGTCACGTCTCCCCTCGGACTAGTGCCTTTGCTCACCAGCTCTTGCCCATGATCGCAGCATCAAACCAGACGTGCTTCAGCCTAAGTATCACACAGTACTCAATGAGACGCTGCTCCCGGTAGGTCTTTTCGAGTGGTCTCTCTATGACCAAACTCCGGTGTCAGTTCATTCAAGATCGATGTGAAGATTTCCTTGCCAATGCTAAGAGGATGCGTTCAAGGATTGTACGGCGAACTGAGGTAGCGTTGCCTGGTCTACAGCAGACTTGACTACTCAGCCTCGGTGGAATGTATAATTTGCCCCTTATAACTTTGCGCTCTTCGACTCAGTTATGGTATCGTCTCACAGACTTTGCCATGGAGGACCCGAGGTATGTGTCTGTGGATGGCATTGTCGCTCAAGCTCTCGAGTTCGTAAGGCGCAGAGGCATTCATCGCATTGGTATGCGTTCTTTGTTCTCTTCTCAGCGTATATTGAGTGAGTACTATAGAGATAAGTTCGAGTCGATCCGGAGCAAATACTCGAAGGAGCCTTCCACACTCGGGGAAGGGTCACTGAGGAAATCTAATGGTTCGGTGTCCACCGCCTTTGAAGATCAGCGAAAACGAAAGCCACGACTGCGTCAGTCCGAGAGAGTACTCGAGCCTAAGGCAACGACTATCGCAGGACTTGAGAATAGACCTACCTTACCGCCGTTAGCTAGCACGAGATCTGAGTCGTTGAACGGAAACAGGCTTCGGGACGAATCTCCTTTATCATCGCATCCGTCCTCGTCCAGAACCAGCTCGCCGTTCTCATCCTCGAGCTCTTCTTCTGCTGCCTCATTTTTGTTCAGCGTGATGATGACCTCGGAAGGGTACACCTCAGACACATCCATGTCCTCGCCATTTTCTGATTCCGAGTCGGGAGTCGGAGTGAATTCAAACGAGGCTCCGAAAGTACCATTGGAGCCAGTAGAAGGGTCGCCTCTTATGATTACTTATGGACAAGAATCCTCCAGTAATGATGAATGGCATGTCGTTGGAGAAGCAAAGACGAGGAAAAATTCACCGATCATCACCAAAGTATCGTCCTTGTTGTCACCAAGGCGTCTGGCTCGGCGACGTGCTGCAGCAAAAGAGGCAGCAGCATCTCTCCAGTAGACTAAGCCTGATGAGGAAACGGTTGCGGTAGCGAAGGCAAAAGAGCATTCTGACGAGCTTCAGTCGAGTCCTGGGAACATTGAAGGGATATTATGAGTGAAACGCACCTTCATTTGCTTCGAGGAGGAGCCCACAGATGAGTGTCTTTGTTACCATCCTCCTATGCTTTCGAGAGAGGCTCCTTTCTGGGATCTGGTTGTCGGTCGTTGGTGACGATTTGTCATGCTGCTTGTATTCTATTGTTTTTCTCTCTCCTCCTACATACTGTCAGTCCTCTTGAATCCTCATGTCGATGCGTACGATGTGGTTGTCCCCCTTCCCGCCTGAGTGCGTTATTTCTGTACCCTTTCGAGTATATCAGCGTAGCTCCGCTATATACTCGCAAGTTCGAGAAGCTTTTCCTCAAGCGCTATGACGACCCTCTACAATTTTTAACTCTGCGATATACAAAATGGCTAACATTTACAGGAATGAATAATGATTACGGTGTGGTTCAGTTGTCAATGAAAGTGGTTCCATAAAGTGTGGAAGTCGAAGCAGTCGAAGTAAAGTACTCTATAAAGTCGAAATATCAACGACTGGAGTTTGGCTTTTTCTGGTGTCATTAGATGCTACGCTACAATTTGTTCTTAATGCATGCGTTTGCGCTTCCCTTGATATCTGCAACTCTGCGTACGCTCTCTGAACCACACCTATTTAGTGGAGCGGCTAGTGCAACACTTGAGACAGGATGCATAACACGATCCACGCTAGGGTTGGCTGCAGCTAAGTTCGTCTATCTTTCGTTAGTTCATTAAGAATATTCTTTTCAGTTGAAATTTCTCAGTCCCTGACCGGTGAACATGATGCGCCTTCTTTCTTTCTTCTTCATTATTGGTTCAGTCGTAGCCGACTGGAACTACTGCCAGGATCTGTGTGAAGCGACTCCTGGTTGCAAGAACTATGGTTGGGGTTCTTACTGTAAGGGTAACGGTGTCTGTTTCGGTCTGCTCGATATGGGAGATGGTGATTATTGCTTTGAGCCCACCGATGGATACAACGGTGGCTACTGCAGCGACAAAGTCTACAGTCCTGTGTCCTGCCCAGTGGTTGATAAGACTTGTGAGGATCTTTGCGCGGAGACCCCCAAGTGCAAGAATTCTAAGTGGGGATCGTACTGCAAGAAGTATGTCGATCAGCCTGGTCCTTATGTGTGCTTCGGATTGTACCACTCCGACAAGCCTCATCTCTGCTATGAACCTTCTGAGGGTGACAAGTGTGATGAGTCCTCACCTGTCTATTGCCCCTCAGAAATGGATTAGGTTCGTCGTGTTCCTTATTAGTCGATGATGATATCGAATGGAGTTATCAGATGTCAGATTATCTATTGATCTCAGTAGTCTTTCGAGTATGGTATTGGGGTTGTGTGATTGAGAGATTAATGAAAGCTAGTTGGTGGTTGATAATTTGTTCGCCGCGTAATTTTGTCATCAACACGATTGAAGATAAGGCATATCATTTGAATATGTTCATCCGTAACGGGTACTTCCTCGTTGTTTTTGTGTGACACTGATTCTTGATGGTTGACTGCCAGTCGAATCAGGTGCGGGTTGAAGAACGTAGTTTGACGGAAAGCTTGGAATTTCGTATGTTGAGCTTGTCTGTGGATCCTAAAATGGATTGACGGATGAGAACACAGAATTTCGGTGTCGTGCCCCGTCTTAATTCATGCAGCAGCTGCCCGTCCTCAGATGCCCACACCTTTATGACCGTACCACTCTCCCCAGCAGAGGCGACCTATCCAGAAGCATTCTCGATAGGATTGGCGAGTGGTTACGCCTCCCACCATAGTGTTGCTGACGTTCAGTTGTAGGGCCGTGATCGCACTATTGTGAGCTGCTAGAATTGAGCGGGAAGAGAGATGGGTGCTCACTCCAGTATATGTCCCCGTCGATCTATTTGGACGATTCAGGAATTGAACCTGAGCCGCGCGGTTCAGAGGGGAATAGTCGCTGTCTGACTTCCCATTACTCTGATTGCGCCACACTGTTCGTCAGGACAAGTACAGAGCCAGCACAGAGCCAAGCTATCCTGTGGTCTTGTTTCATGGGTTGGGGTCAACCACCACCAGTAGGCAGCATGCCGATGACACTTCGAGCAGAGCCAGTGCTGCTACTTCTTTCAAAATTGATGTAACAGAATCAGTGCCACGGATTGCGCCAATTCGTCCCGGTCAAATGTCCTTACGCTTCCACTACCCTTGTCTCGTCTTATTGTTCCGAATATCCTTATCATTCATTTGTTTCCGAATCACTCGTTCTCATCACGATTCGAATTTTCGACTGAGGTGTGGAGTCGTTTTCATATGAGTAACCACGAGAGTTAAGGTCTACAGCAACACAAGTGGACTCTAGACCCGCTCGAAACTGGTATCATAGTGATAAAAACGACCAGAAAGATGACCAGAAAGATCAACGGCCGAAAAATAAAAAGCCAGCATTCGGGAAAGTGAGTATGAAAAAGATATTCTGGAGAGACACCACCTGCAGATGAGCTATCCGAGACCTTTAAGTCAGGAACGGATTCACCGTCAAGCTATCAATGATAAGGATAATGAAATGACTCGGCCACAAACATTCCGGATCGAGCGACAAACACACACCAGAAGAGTTTGATGCCTCAGCTCAGCATGACGATGCAGCGGAGTCTTAGTAGAGAGTCCGCATGCCAAGTACTTCGTCGTTTAATAGCACTTATCACCCTTCTTCGTCGGATTAGGTAAGGGATGGGCCAAGCCCGTGCAAGTCTTAAGTTCAGCACCACAGTGTTCCTCCGCGCACGCCTGGCACTTTTTACCCAGTGGGCTGAACATGCAGGATGTAATGCATGATTTAATAGTACATGCTCCAACAGCAACGAAGCAATCGGCGCATTCGTGAGACAGGCCACAACCTTTCTCAAGGCAGGGGGCGATTTTTGAAGGTGTAAGCTTAGCATCGGAAGCACATTTGTAAAGATAGTTGGGGAATAAGTTGTTGGTCAGCTTCTCCTTGTCCTTATCGTTACAGGCATTGTTAGCCACAACGACAGTGATAAGCAGGATGTTGACGATGCTGCGCATTCCCATGTTGAAAAGTTGCATAGATTGGACGACAAGCGCATGAACGCATACGCACTGGATGTTGGGACGCAGACAAAGAGCGCGTGAAACGAACAAAGAGATAAACGTCACTGAACGCAGCAGGTCGGGAGAATAATTCTCTCTAATAAAGACCTTCTATCTTTCTGGACCATCCTGCCACTGCCGAGGAATATCAGAGCTCACGCCGGTATCTAGTGTTAGTAAGAACTACCCTTGGATTCTGATTGTGGGTCCCTGCGTGGGGGGTGGGTGGTTCACGTGTGAATGCAATCGACACATCGCGACGATCGATCACATCTAGGAGAGTTGGTGGACTCTCTCGAGGATTATTATTGGTACTTCCACCAGCCCCGTCGGCCGGAGCTAAAGACTTGATAGCTTCAGGACTAAGTATGATCTGATATCTGAATCTACCTTCGGGGATTCTGTTGCCAAAGTATCAATAGACGACCCGATCACGTCTTCGTGTACATCCGTGCGCGAGTCTGCGAGTGAATCTGTGCGTCACTTCCCTTCAACTAGGGAGGGTTTGTACTAGACAGGAGAAACAATCGAAAGCCTAATGGACGGCTATAGCGTCCATTAAGCTCAATTCGGTTGCCAGGAAGTGCCACGCCCCGCACGACATCCCGTCAACCTTCTGTTATTCTATCTGCGTTTAGCACCAAAACGCAGACACAACACTGTTATATGCTGTAATCAGGCATTACTAATGCCGCATTAGTCGAGCATTATGTCTCTGTAGCTGAATCACTCTGCGTGAACCATTGTGATCTTAGCATTTCTCCTCATCTATTTAGTGTAAGTAACTGAGAATGGTTATCCTTGCACTCTTGAAGTTATTTGTGCCCTTAAGCCATTAGCTATGCCCTTACACAGTTGCACGCATACACAAAGGCTTTTAAATGAAATATTTCAAACATTTCACGGAAAAAATTTCAGTGAAATATTTCACTTTTAGCGGATTTTTCGCTTTTTTGAGGGTTTGCGTCAGAAACTAGTGCTTGAGGCCTCTCATCATAGATCACGGGTGAAGTTGGCCCTATCAACAGCAATATTGTCCCCTTAGCAAAGGACAAGTGAAAAGGAAATGAGTAAAACGAGAAATTCCCGGTTGAAGTAGGGAATACTCCAGTCGTACCAACGGCATTGATCTTCCTATCCGATAGGACCTATTGCGTGCGCCATCAGCCTGATTGTACTACTAGGGCGTATCTTCTGGCGGCGATATAGTCAGCCCACCCGCAGGTATGGATCTTGTGAAGAACAAAATAGCCTTAGACAAGGTGTGTAAACTTTCGGTTATGGAGTGCTGAAATTCAATGTGATGGAATTTCAACGATCTTCGTCTCCATTGTCGACACGTTGTGACATTGATCTTCGTCTCCATTGTGATACTTCTGGAGTCAAAGAATACGGCGGCTGAGAAAGGCCTGGTCTCACCATACTCACGATAGCGGAGAGGATAGACAGCGGAGTACGATCGAACTTATCAACGCGGCACCCATACGCGAGTAGGAACTCATTCAAACGAGCATAGAATTGATCGAGCACTCGTCTTCGGGGACGTTCAGTGAAATACTGTGCAGCTGCACGACGGTTAGACGAAATCGAACACCTCCTGCTTTTCTGGTGCTCAAGCTGAGGTATAGGGGACCTAGAGGTTGGGAGTACTGCATCCTCCTCGGGCAAGGACTCCGGGTCGCTGTCGCACTCTCGACATACGATTCTCAAATTGGCCACGTCATGCTTGTCCGTGGAGCAAGACTCTCGCACCAGTAGAGCATCCTCGTCCTCCCGGGGGCTACGGTGAGTGTGATCGGTATATCGCGCCGAGCGCTCATGATGAGCGGCTCATTCGACTGTTCCATGGCTGAGCCCTCACTCACGTGCCTACTCGGCAAAATCGGCCGCCTCTTCCCTTCCAAAACCCTGGTATCATCCAAACGGCACTCTTCAAGGTGCATTGTAGCCCGGAATGAACTGAAGTACCCTCTCACGAATTCGTCGCAGGATCGCAACTGTAGGCTCCACTCGAAGATACCGAGAAATACTTCCACGAATCTGGCCCTTTACGCCTCTTCTCTATCGTACTACATTTGATCACAAGAGTTTATCCCAATCACCAACTCCAGTGCATCATTGGAAAGCTCGAACTTCGAGCTTCGAAATAGGCCCCCGTATTCCAAAATCGCTTTGATCTACCGGGATGCTTGATGGTGCGTGAAAACACTTCAGGCGGCTTACACTGAGAGATTTCCACTAACCCCTAAAGATTGGCGTCGCCAAACCCATTAGATTCGCCAATTTGGCGGATCTTAAGATTAAGACTCTAATCTCACAAACTTGAAAACTCAAAGAAGAAACTAACCTCGGAAGTAAGATCAAGCTAGAGCTATTGGTTCTGAACTAAGCAACTTTTGGGAAACTTATAGGGGAGAGCAAAAGTTGTGCGTATTTTTCCAAAATCAAGTGAAACACGAATCGAGAAAAATGTTTCAGAACTTCATTAACCGGGGATCGTGCTCACGGCCCGTGAGTCACGGAGTTTGGGGGACGCGATTATCTACTTCGGCGAAGCGTTGTTATGTACTCCGCATTCCCGCAATCTAGGGCCGGAGCAGAGCAAGCCAATTGGGCCTTACCGCAATCTCAGATGAGTCCTGGAAGGCGTGGGTTAGTGGTTCCACCAAGTGGAACGAACTAACGCGGCGTTAGTAACGCCCTTGCTCACCTTGCTCAAAAAAACTAACGTTAGATCATAAATGTTCCCAAATTGAGGGCGAGTCCGATGGGCTTGGGTAAACTAACCGGTTCTCATCCTTGAGTGAGACTATCTGGACGACGACGATAGCGATGTGGACGTTTGAAGGAATCTTCTGATGAGCCTCTCGAGTTGCCTCCTCGAGAAGACGATCCTCCGGCTTCCGAGCCTGAGTATGGCGTCAATGAGCCATTCACTGTCTTCGAGGGGAACATCTTCGACGTCGTTTCGATGATCATACCTGAAATCGAAACCTCATTATCGATTGGTCAACGGCTGTATCGAGGAGCTCAAGACAAAGCGGAAGACTTGCTACTTGGAATGTCGTAGGACGGTGTCATCTCGGAACGAGGGACGGGAAGCATCGAAGGGTGCGAACTCGAACTGCCAAGCCAGATTGGCGGCTCTGGCCTGCCTTCATCTGTCATCTGAGGAGGATCAAGGTTCGGCAAAATGGACCCTTATGTCATATGTATCCACTGCGAGGAGTTACGGCCACCAATGAGGACTGGAGAGAGCACTCACATTTTCCGGGCACTGAAGATTGCAGAAGTGCGAGGATCCCTCCAGATATTCTCGATGACTGGCAAATTTGGCTCGCTGAACAGCCATGCATACCTACAGCACAGTTGAAGACGAAGTCTCGCCAGAAGTGTATTGATGGACAATACTCAACCACTTCCATAGAGTTCATCACGCAGAAGGGACTCGATAACTTCGAGGCTGTGAGGTCTGCACTGCGCTCAATAAAAAAATCGAGAGAGTGTGGGTTGAGTGTGGAAGCATTCACGAGAGAGCTGCGTGAGTTGGCTTGTGACGCAGCAGAGCTCGAGGGACGAGTTGCAGACATCATACGTAGCATTGATGCTGTCGAAGCAGGTAGTGGTTCCTGAAAAATCCAACTGCTATACAGCAATTCTAGAACAGTTAAACGCAGAACAGCTCTATGAGGATTCCCTTAGATTAGTCCGAAAAGAACAATTCATGCGCTGATTTCAGATTGCGATAACCGCCTGAATTATCGAATTTCGAGAAGGTAGGCAGACTGTCTAAGGCAATTCAATATTCAATGAAAAATCAGCATCAGGTTCTCGAGTTCTTTACCGTTTGAAGGTAGGTAAGTGAAAGAGGTCCCTATTAAACACGGTCTTCCGGTCCCTCGCGGATAAAAGATTTGCACCGTCAATTACCAGTCGACGTTTCCAGATTTTGTGAAATCCTTGAGAGAATACCTGAGAGAATACCTGCATATTACGATGATCACAATACGAACAATGCGTCATTATGATGATCCTCGTACTCTCAAGGTCTCGCATACTGTTGCCGTCATACATGGAGCCGATAAAGATGATTGAAAGTCACCCAAACGCAGTTTTGAAATAAATTGAGAAATATTTTGATTTTTCAGAAGAATTCAGTAATATTTCAGGTGAAATATTTTACGGTGTGGCGGCTCCTTACTTCAGCCACCCTGTCGGCGACACACCCAACGTTGGAGTGCGCTGGTGACAGGAAACGGCACGAAAGTTGATCGCCTGTGAGCTGTCTCTTTTGTTCGTCCCTTTTACTCGTAACTAGCGTTAGCCTTCTATCTCCAGCTTCTGATGGACACTCAGTCCTTATCTGTCGGCGGCGGTTGAGTTGCAACCAGTTAATGGAGGGTTTGGGCCAACCGACACGGCACAGTATCATAACCTCCTGCAGAATTGGCTCTGTCACACGGATAATTTGCTGGATACTCCAGGCTATAGGCAACAGCCTATGCAAATTTGTCAACTGTCAAGTTTCGTGATAGGATTCAGAGTAACGGAGGGGGAACTCAAGTGTACTGCAGACAATATTACGAACAGAGGACTTCACTGAGAGGATATACTTCAACTTAACTCCGAGTTTTCTTCATGACAAAGTAAAGCAAGATATCACTCCAATTGCAACCAACAGAATATTTCCTAGTATCGATTTCCTTCATTCACTGGGCAGATATTCTATACGACCTGCCAGGGTCCTTCACCAACATCTACTGGAGGATCGGTCTTTGATGCCGTATTATCCATGTGGAAATCAGGTCTCGAAGCGAAGAATGTTATAGCTTGTATCAGATGCATTGCTGTTGAGGTGGGCACTGAGAAGGAAGGAGACTGCTGCTAGCAATTAAATAGTGAACCGGAGTGATTGACTAGACGACATCTAAGTCTATCACCGCAGCACCAACAATGCTTCACATGGTGAAGTTGCATCCGCGATAGGCAGAATGCAGTGTCCCAACCATCACGAGCTCGAATGCAAAGTGATATAAAGCCATAGCTCACCTTCTCCAGAACCTCCTGTCAATACTTCGACATCATCATCATCAAACTCACACTCATATCGCAAGCCGTTGTAGTGGAATACATAGATCCTGTTGAGGTGCGTCTTAGAAAAGCACACCAACGGGCCTGGAGAGGGAACACAGTCAGAGCCCGCCAGAATGAGCAACAATCCCACCGCTGATAGGCACGCTCTCCCCAACGTTCGCTTTCACCAGTCCCCCTGATACGGCACGGAGATCTACGGATGTCTTTCCAGTAGCAGGATCAATATCAGGGAGATGGAACTGGGCGACGGACCGCGCTGATTTAAAGTACCTGGGAGAAAGAACCATTCCTCTCGCATATAGTCCAAAACGACAAAGTAGACATACTCTCTCTAAACTTGAGTGAGTAGCGTATAAATTGAACAACTCAGTGCAGTGACACCTACCCTATCGGCAACGTGTTCGCGAGGGACTGCTTCGCGGCCTGGGTCTGCTCCGGCGTGCCGCCTCGTAATTGGAGAAGTGTGGTCGTATGCTGCTCTACATAGTTTACAGCAGACGTAGCATAAGATAGTAGGGTTGACGAAAGCGACCTGCAACAAATATAGAACCTTGATAAGATGGACTCCAATGGAGTCACTCCATCATACGCAGCCGTAGTCGAGCTAGACCGAGGTCTTGAAGGTGGTGGCGAGCCTTCGGGTGGCGTCGGCCCTAACGTCACTGGCAGCTGCGAACCTAGTCGGATTCGCAGGCCGGTACTGCTTGGTAGTTAACATACCTTGGGAGCCACTACCAGAGCGTCTGTGGCGAGCAGATGCCAAACGGAAAACATGCACTGTGTTAGAACTCGAAGACGAGACAAGGTATTGGTCATCGTCTCCTGTAGCAATACTCTACATGGGACATCTAATTAGACGCTTAGCTGACTCACTGAAACTAAGGCAACATATGAGGGTGTTTGTCGTGCCCCGTCTTAATTCATGCAGCAGCTGCCCGTCCTCAGACGCCCACACCTTTATGACCGTACCACTCTCCCCAGCAGAGGCGACCTATCCAGAAGCATCTTCGATAGGATTGGCGAGTGGTTACGCCTCCCACCATAGTGCCGCTGACGTTCAGTTGTAGGGCCGTGATCGCACTATTGTGAGCTCCTAGAATTGAGTGGGAAGAGAGATGGGTGCTCACTCCAGAAGATGCCCCCGTCGATCCATTTGGACGACCCAGGAATTGAACCTGGGCCGCGGGTTCAGAAGAAATACTAGGTGTCAGACTTCCCATTACTCTAATTCCGCCGCGCTGTTGGTCAGGGCAACACATAACCGTCTCCCGGTGTACATCACAGTTGAGAGTACAGACGCCTCTGCTGTTACCATGAGTATCCAAATGCAACATAACGTCCAATTCAGGAAGGCTGTAGACGTATATCTGATGAAAAAACCGGGAAATCGCCAGCAGGAGGCACACTAAAGGTAAGCCCCACCTTATATTCTGTCACCACGGCAATAACATCCCGCCTCATCTGTACACTTAGAACCTCAGGTCTAGAGCACAAGGCATGCGGCGCCGTGCCAGTCTTGTCATCCCACAGTAGAACCTACTAGGGAGCATGATCCGTGCAGGGGCCATAGACCCCAACTCTAGTTGGCTCCGCAGCGCTGACTATCGCCCGAATGTTAGTCTTATACAGCATCACAGCCACAGCCACTGGCGCCGACATCAACCTTCGACGGAATTCGACAAAGTTATCCTGCTGAGCTTGCGAGTACAAGAAGAAGGTACCTACAACAACGATAATACTCAATAAGCTCTAATAGATGGCTTACGGAAGTCCTTAGTCGTCGCCACACAAAGCCCACTATGGTCCTGATTGAGGGCCATGCTCATCAGGTAGACCGGAGGTGCTCCAGGCTCCTGTGTCTGCTTGCCTGTACTCCCACTAGAGGCCATGGAGGCAGTCTGCTGCTGCTGCTGCTGACTCACAGCAGATGGTACCGGCGATGAGCGGCCTGAACTACGAGAAGGAGTTGACGAGGCTTCGCTCGACGACATTCTCTCTGAACCGACAGAATCTACTTCCACCAATGAGCCCTGCGACTTGAACATGCAGGAACATGCTCCACTCGAAATTCACACAACCACAGCGAGACTCACTTTGTGACTCACTAACCCAACACGAAATGGCACATAGTCACCGTATTGAAAGCAACATATAACTATCTAGTAGCCTTCACTAATAATGATAAGGTGCCTCCTCCCTCGACTGCAATGATCATTCCATCTTAGTGTTCCGTATATCATTCACGGGCTCCTCCGAGGCCTCGCTACCCGCGGCATCGTCACCAGCCTTCGCCTTAATCTCGCTACCACCTGTTGCCACCTTGAAGCGACTTGCACCACTTGCCAGCGCAGTCAGCACCTACACAAGACACTACCAACAACAGCATGAGCCATACAAACTACCTCTTCACTGTCATCAAGCTTCTCCAAAACCTCAGGGAAATGCTCGGTCAAGAACGCCTTCATCCGCTCAGTCGCAGTGAGATGCCAGTTAGGAACCAGCTTCTGTATAGCATTCCACTTAAGACCCCGGTTGATCTGCTGCTCATGCTGTAGCCGAGCATAGGCTCTCGCCACCTTAGTCTGCATAGAGAATAAAAATCAATAACCCCTACGCAGCCACACCACCCACCTGAGTCGTCGCATCGCCTTCCGCCAACTCAAAGGCGAAAAACTCTCCCCATAGGTCACCATTGTTAGAGCTTATACTAGTAGCATTTTGATACCATTTCCGAGCCTTCGCAATCATCCCTGAACACCCATATGTACAACTTGAAGCGACCAACCACCGACACTACCCTTATCCTTCCAGAAGAACTTCGCCACTGCCATCACCGCATGTACGTCGTTCTCACAGTGCTTCAATGCATCAACCGTCTTAGCGTGGCGAGTCTCCTTAGGTTCCAACTCCACAGCCTTGGCCCACAGTAGTCCCGACCTCGGGCACTGTTGCAGTGCCCTATTCAGCATATGACGAGCCTGAGCACGCGTGTCCTCCAGTTCGATAGACTTCAACCAGAGCTCATCGAGATGAGGATGTTGCTTCGCTGCCGCCCCCAACGTCGCCTGAGCAGCTCCCACCGCACCCGCAGCTTCCGTGATGGTGGAGTTCCGCAGACGGCCACGCTCCAGTATACTGCGTGCCAAGGGTAACTTGTTCATCTTGGCGGCCACATCAGCAGCTACTATCCACAGATGAACACTGCGGGGACACTTCTCGAGACCATCCGAAGACCATCGCTCCGCCTCTTTCAAATCACCACTTTCCATATTAATATGAGCTCCAATCATATACAGCTTAGCAAAATGTGGGTACTGTACGATCGCGTCCTTACACAAGGCCAGAGCCTGGAGTAGAGGAAAGAGCATACACGCATGGCTCAGCATAGGTAACCCCTCCCCACTCTACCTGATTTGTATGGCCCGACTCCCTCTCAACTTGAATGCTTTGCATCCATATACGTTCACAAGGTTCCTTCGAGAACTCAGCTTGCCTCCGAGCTGCAGCCAGCAACTGCCTAGCCCGTTGTATTTCCCCATTGCTGACCTACATCAAACACGTTCTCCTAAATCCCCTACCCTACGACACAGTACCTCAATCTTAGCTGCAGCCAGATGAACGTCTTCACTGCTAGACCCGACAGCCTGAGCTGCCTGCTGTAGAATAGCTCTAGCTCCATCGACGTCGCCACGCAGCCATTTCTGCTTGGCCGAGATCAACCACAACTGCGGCGCCAACGGGCAAGCTTCCACAGCAGCTGCCAAGACCTGAACGACAATACGAACGGAGCGATGGATAATCTGGGCCTCCCACCTTGTCCATTTGGGCTGCAGTGCCATGCCTAGCTTCCAGCTGAGCCCAACGCTTCCAAAGGCCCTTCTTAGTCGGGAACTTAGCCGTAGCACTAGCATAAAGTGCTCGTGCTGTGTGTGGTCTATGGCGCGACAGGGCTGCATCAGCATCTGCCACCCATTCACGTTTGCAAGCCTGATCAATGAACGCATCAAGCAACAAGCATTCATTTACAAGCATCGACGCTCGCGATTTCAGCCCTGCAGCAATTCAGCTATCCTCAAAAACCTCGACCACAAGTGCCCATCGGGACTACCTTGGAATCAGTCATATCCATGTTGGTGTCAATAGTGAGATCCACCAGGGCATCAGTAGTAGCGGTATAACCCAGATTCTCCGAGTCCTCGGCCATCTGCAGCCACTGACGCCTATCAATCTTCACTCCATTAGCCCTCAGAGAGTCCATGGCTCGTTGTATGATCTTCCTAATCCCCGACGTGTTACCACTACTCTCTTGCAGCCGAGCCGCAGTGACCCAAATGAGTGCACTAGTAGGGACGTTCTTGCGAGCTTGATTCAACACCTACCCGTGTCACCATCAGTGTCACCCACCGCCCAGCCCATTACCTTCTGAGCCTCATGATATTCACTAAGTCTTGCCAACGCCAGCCACAACTCTTCACTCTTAGGGCAGCACTCAGTGGCCCGTCTTAGAAGTATCTTAGCATCAGCTGGCTTCTCCAAAGACACCGCCATCTTCCACAACTGCACACTCGAAGGGACCTTTTCCAGGGCCTTCCGCAGCACTTGCCTCTTGGCCCCAACCGAAGTCTGATGGAGACGATCGTCCCACCGCCCGCTCAAATTCCCATCGGCCCCACCTCGCGATTAGCAGCGTCGATCCAGATCTTCGTAGACCTCGGAAGCTCTCTTACTGCTTTGGCGAGCACAGCCTTGGCGTTCTCAGGCTTCTCAAGCCTCGCAGCCTAACAGCGCTCAATATCCCATCTTATCGAAGGCTTATCACAGACCACTACCTCCAACCAAAGGTCCTCGCTCTTCGGACAGTGCTGCACACCCTTAGCCACCAGCTCTCTAGCCTGCCCGAGATTGCCCGTCATCTCCTCCAGTCGAGCTGCTGCAATCCAACCCGCTGCATGATGAGGGTTGCTACGAGTCACCGACTTGAACAACAATCTGGGAAGAGGGATAAGGGTCCCCGAGAATCCACAAGGGCACTACTACCTGGCCTTCTTCACTTCGTTAACATCAGTATCCACACCAACGCCAGCAGCGGCTCCAATACGTGATGCTGCAGCTAGATCAGTGAGATATCCCTTAGGGTCCATCACTGACTGGCCCGTTATGGAGTCTTGCAGCTTATCCAACTGCACAGCGAGAACAGCAGCCTTGGCTTGGCCCAATTCATTCACACTGCCAGCCGCTCCCCCTCCAACAGCAGGAGTTGAGAGACCCAGCGGAGTGGAGAGCCCCATGGGAGTAGCCATACCCATAGGAGTACTAAGGCCACCAACACCCATTGGGGTAGCGAGACCACCCATTCCTAATGGCGTTGACATGCCCATAGGGGTAGAAAGACCACCACCGAAGCCCATTGGAGTGGACAGGCCTAGGCCCATTGGAGTCGATAACCCCATGCCGATAGGAGTTGACAAGCCTCCCGTACCAAAACCTGAGGAGGTCAAGTGTGACACGCTGCCAAGCAAGTAGAGTAGTGTCACCCATAGGAGTGGACATTCCCGTCATAGGCGTCGACATGCCGCCACTTTGTTCTGTCGTCCCAAACGTTCCTGCACTTCTGGCGGACAGCAGCATCGAGTCTGACGCTGCCGCCAGGGTCTCACGACGCCGCTTCTTGGTCTGACATCCGATGGAGTTCTTATCCCATTACTCCCTACCCCTCGGGAGTACCTTCAAATGCTCCTGAGCCTCCGGAATAGCATCCCACTCCTCTGCGGAGACCTTCGCAAGGTCACGCTTAAAGGGCAATAGCTGCTGCGATATAGTAGGACGCTCGTCTCTCATCTTCAAAAGTTCATCGCGCATTCGTTCTTCTCGCCACTAAGACCATCGTGATGATCCAATACACTGAGAGCCCCCAAGTAATACCTTCTTCCTTTTCTCATCGAGCCTCTCATCGACTTGCTCGTACATCTCATCAGCCTCCTTATCGTCTTCGTCATACACCGTATTCTGGAAGAGCGAGCCGCCGTACCTACATGTGGCGAGCCGCTGCAGCAACGAGGGTGCTGGGAATACTACCCAGCGAACTCATCGAAGTTGCTGTCCCCCAAGTCCTGATTTTCCTCATCTTGTATTGGCGTTATCTCGCTACTACTGGCATCATCACGACTAACACCTCCAGTGAACCCGGTAGCCCCTCGTCCGCGTCCAGGGATGTATCCTGGCGGAGGCGCTCCCCACTTCCCGTGGATCGAATGCTGGGCACCCCCAGCCGTCGAGTCCCTAGCCAACTTGCTTTTCTGGAAGGCCCTGCTATGGGACCCGAGAGTGCCAGGAGCGATGGGTGGGAACTGCGGGAGTCCGGCGAACTCCGCTCGAGTGGCAACGTGGAAGCCACCAGCACCTCGACCCTTTCCCGCGGTATAGCCTGGTGGAGGCGGGTACCCGGCAGCTCCTGTGAGGCCCTGTCGAGTTGCAGGATTCTGCCCAGGGAGCAAAGACATTTTGGGTGATGTTCAATGTACTCAACTCCGCGAATAGATTACCTGGGCGCGCGCGATATACAATGCCTCTTCAGGGGGCGTAACAGGTTTCGCCAACTCGGATTTCGCCAAGTAACCACCGCACAGATTTCATTTGCCAAACACCAAGACAAGCGGTCAAATACGGAATATTACGCTGATAACACCGGGTCGGCGTTTTCGATACTGGACTAGAAAACGGCGGAGTTCTTGGTGAAAGAACGATTTGGTTGGCGGCGGAAAAATGGTTGGTATAACACCTACGTAGGAAGGAATTCAGCAACTCTTGCTGAATACTGATTTCCGCGACTTGGCATGATTCATGAGTATACGGGTTTTGCCTAGTCGTCGGAAGACACAGATTATACCAACATTCAAGAAATTGTGCAACCAGCGGAGCGAAGTGTAAATAAATTGTTATAAACAATTTATGGACCAATTGTTAGTCTTGTGAAGTTTATAATATAAACATGTCATCACTCTGTTTCCATCCCATGTTTCACTGTTTTTATTCATCCTTAATGGGTCGTGTAACGTTACTGAGTCCGATTTAGTATCTAACAGTCTTGAGTTTATGGAGTTGATGGATAACAAATATGGTGAGGTTAGTTCTGTGCCGAACTACGATAGTTCGTCTGTCTCACCACAGCCT